TGACAAGAGAAAAGCGATTCCACACTGAACTTACCCATGGTGTTAAAGCCGCAAATGAAGAATACGGTGTCCGGTTTGTGCCTCTTGCGTCGATCCTCCTCCGCGTCCAGCGTGTCCACTGTCCAAAACCGCGTCCAAGGAAATCTTTTGCTATAAGGAACAAGAAGGGCAAAATTCTCGATCTGTTTCCTGACGGCACCGCAGACACTCTTACATTTCAATCTGTTGAAATCAGGAGGCTGGACTTCCAACGCTTCTCTGCTGTTGATTGGCTCAACTCTCCGATAGTGTTTCGAGGTTGTGCAGAGCTGCGTTGCCATTGGTCCAAAAGTTAAACTTGACAAGTTCACAGATAATCTCCCCCGATCGCCCTCCTCGTCTTGCTTTCTCCCATCAGAAAGCAAATCAGGGGTTATACCACCAGGAATGCGTGTGTTATTGTGACAGAGTGAGTATAATGCAGTACAGAGATGTTGAATCAACACTAATAGATAATATATTTACCAATGATATTGACAGCAAAATGACAAGTGGATTACTTATAAATGATATTAGTGATCATCTACCAGTATTTGTGGTTTATGAGGGCCAGTATAGAAAAGAGAGGCCAAAAACAAATCTTTTCTATAGGAGGGTGACGAATGAACAAGCTGTAAGGAGGCTAAAAGAGGATTTTATGGGGCAAAACTGGGAACCAGTTTATAAGAATGTTAACACTCTGTTATAATTCTTTAGTATATTGTGTGGTGTAGAAGAGAATCATTTACTGCTTGCAAACCAATGATGGTAAGATGATGTCAGGGGGTAGAACTGGATAAGTCTGACTTCTTCCTACTCCATTCAAGCATGTTCTAGGTATAAGCAAATTCATATTGGATTATTATTGTTGGATATGTGTAAAATTATGTGTGTTGACATATCGACTGTCTTTACATGCTTGAATGAATAAATCAAATCAAATCAGATCCTTCACCTGAAATGTGGCGCTAAATACTAAGAAGCCAAAAAAATCCAGTTGGTGGCCGTGACAAGGAAACATCGCCCGCAAAAATACTAATATTCCCTGGAAAGCGCGCACCTGTGTGTTTTCAGTAGTTGCCTGTATTGTATTATTATTATTATTATTATTATTATTTGCTTTATGTTTTTATAAAAACTATATTTTCACAATAAAATAACTGTTTGATTCTACTATGAAAACACATGGGAAATTTGACTTTGGGTGTCTTTAAGCTCCACTGCACCACACTTCATTCCAAGCTTTTCAATTGCATCATTAAGGAAAAGGGAGCAAATGAATGACTGGTTGTGTGGAGTAATGTAAATTAGCCTCATCACGTTGATAAGCTGTATTTATCACTCTTTTCACATTTCTTTCCTGTGTTTTACTCTCCTTTGCGCATTGACTGCACTTTGAAAAACAAAAACAAAAAAATGTTTCACAGGATGATGTTTTGCTCAAAAGGCAAACATGTTTTACATTTGGAAACGTCTCATGTAGTTTGAAAGTAGACTGCATACTTCCAGATTTAACACTTGTGCTAATTTTAAATCAAATATTATTCATTTTTGTCATATGTGAAATTTTAAGCTATTGTTTTAAATAAGTTATTTTAGCTTTTTTATTTAAAACTATTTAATTTGCATTAAAGTTGTGCGTCAGACGATTACGCACAGCAGGTGTTAAGGATACGCAGGGTTTTAGAGATCTTGAATTATTAAAAAATAACTTTTTGTTTTAACCTTTACCCAGTTACCCATCAGGCTCAAAGTTTGCAGAGCAGGGGGGTAAACACTGGTTATTTCTACCGTTACTACCTCTGCATTCAGTGACTGCTTGTATAGAAACCTCACTTGCAAGCAACAAGAGATTTGTTGCTTCCTGACACTTAAAAACAAACACGATTTACCGTTTCGCCTTCAGTCTTTCCCATTTGGGTTTCCTCTTGCCGTATTGTACAAAGGCCAAGGCGCATGACTGACCTTCATCTCTGAGTAACCTAAAGGGATCAGCGGGTGTGCAAACATCAAATGACGCTCCTGTACAGCAATCAGGAATATTGTTGAAAACCTCTGACACAGAACACCGAAGCAGCTGTGACGGGCCAACGTGTACACAAAGCATTCATCAGTTTTGCACGCTCAGCTCTGTCGGCTGAATACTGGAGAGTAAATTCATCTTCATCCCATTTACTTTCTCCACTTTCTCAGGATGGCATAAACCTCTGAAAGTACACAGATCGCAGTGTGCTCCGACTCAACACTAATCCAAGAGGCGCAAATTCACGCTTTTCTGGAGATATTTGTACCTACAGGAGGGGTTATTTGCCTTAGGATGACCGACTGGGGGTCTTAGTTGGTTCTTTTTTTATTTACCACCATCACCGCTAGCCCCCTATATCCCCCCACCCCCCGTTCAGCTCCCAAGCCACTAATGCGTCAAGGATAATGTTTAGCCTGCCGTGGTGAAACGTGCTCACCTTGTTTCCACTGAGGTGCCTCTGGTGACTGAAATAACAAAAGGTCAGTGGTGAGGGATTAAGGGTCTCCTCAAGCAGCTACATCCTCACCCTTCTTAGACAAAACGCACATGCACCTTCTTCCTTTTTACTGCCATAATAGATGTCCAACCTGTGGACACATGACACTGCAGGCTCAGCGGGGGCCAGCACCGGTTTTTATACTGATCAATGACACCACACAACAGCTGGAAATTATTCACATTGAATTGCTGATGGTAGAATTTTGAAATCATCGTCGAAACGATTAATATTACCATTATATACTGCTTATAATAAAATGGGTGCCAATATAGAATAAAGAAGTCTCATATGTTTATCATTAACCCGTCAAGTTACCGTATGTTGCTCTTGAAGTGAATGGAGTCTTTAACGTAGCCTAAACTGTGTATTCACTGTACAGTCTGAAAGTATAAGCAGTCTTTAGTAAATAAATGTTTAAGCTACTGATTTTTACTCCACTGTAATCTTTTTGTCCGTCCGTGAACGCCACGCCACTGCTAATAGGCCTTCACGCATGATTTCCAGACTATACATGGCTGTCACATGCCTTGTACTCCTCACAAGACCGAAATCGTCCATGTCGAATTGAGTCGTTCCTACCGCCTGTGAAGGCAACACGTCAGACAAACTGTAACAATGAACTCAAAGCCTCGACAATAGTCCCCTCACCCTGCTCCTGAGGTGGAGGCTCACCCTCCTGCTGGAACTTTACATAATAAAAGTCTACGTGTCGTGTGTCTTTAATTTCATATGAGCAGTTTGACGGTGAAATCCATCAAACAGCATTTTGTCTACACACTAGGCTGCACTTTGGTTCCGTCCCGGAGCAAGCAGATGACTGACACCTTCACGGTTTATATGCAAACATTTGCAATGCAGCGCTTTTACTATGTCTCGATAATCTGCTATTTAATGCTTAATTGGCATTCTGTAAATAATATCATAGAGACACGTACTTCAGTCTCTTGCACTCCGTCCAGCTCGTTTTGCAGTGAAGTCACTGCGCATCGGGGTTTTCTCCCTCTCTCTCTTTAGAAAACGTGATAATTTACATTATCTTGCTATCAGGCTAATATATAAAGACTAGTGATTAACAATATAATCACAATATTTCCTAAATCGGACGATGTTGTTTACAGATGTGTTCCTCTATTTATCTTTTGTGGACTTTATGGAGCAAACCCAATTTGTCCCCCCAGCTGGATGCTGAAGCTGCTCAGCGTCTCTTCTGGTTGGAAACTTGCACTTGTACCTGTTTGTATCACAGTTGTGTTTCATGTCGGTGTTTGCTGTGGTCATAACTGCTTTCACGACGAGAAGCTTTTTACTGACTCCACACTGTGGACCAAGGATTCTGGCCAAATAGATTTTTGTGTTGCTCTTTTTTCTTTCTTTTAGAAAAACTCCTGAGTGTTCCACCGAGGTCGTGGTCCCCACCACCAGGATGAAGTAGAGGGGGGGGACCTAAAATCAATTTGGCAACATTTCGGGCTGACAGTTCTTTATGGGTGAGTTAAAATGTTAAATCCTGGTGGAGAGTTTACATTTCTCTCTTCAAAACCTTCATATCTGCAGTAATCGTGATGTAGGTGTTTGCGCCTCTAACCACTCTCAACCTTTAGGCTGCGTTTTTAGAAAAGTCATGTTCAGGCGTTCTACACCAAACTTTTAATCTGGTTCCAACGCCAAATATTGGCATTTATAAATCATAGCGACTTTCTATTCATTTCTTTCTCGCACCGCAGCGATAATATGAGGAAACCACGGTGCCAGAATCCTGCACAGATCCACCCGAGTTTGTTTACTTGTACATGCTGAACTTGCAAAACAGCTATAAACTCTGACACAGGCACTCCCACCTCAGCTGTCTTCACTGTGTGTGAGCGAAGTCACTTTTGGTTTTAATTAAAACATTTTGAACAAGTGAAGGAAGACATGAGGAACTTTTATCCCAGCAGTTGTCACCTCAGTGAAAAATAGGCTCCGTGTTTCTCAGGCTGGGACTGAAACGTGAAACACAGACACGTTGCTGATTGCTACAGGATTTCGATCGGGTTTGATCGAAATATCATAAAGAACGAGTCTCTAGGCTATATAAATTATAGGCTCCCATCCCGTCCCCACCCCCAATTCTGCCTCCCCTTCTCAGCAATGGAGTTTGATCCATGAGGAGGCGGTAAATAAAAGGTGAGTAATGATTTGGTGATATTCAGTGAAACGACCCCAAAATAATCATAAATCAGTTGCTTGTGTATTTAAAATAGTTTTTCTTTTGCACCGCCGTCGTTGTATGTCATTACAGTTAATCACTTTTTAAAACAGTCTGTTCTTACACTATGATCGTTGAAACAACCGAATGAATTCAATAAGTCGCTTCCTCATTTTGGTCGGAATCATTTCATGCTTGAAAGATCAAGGGAATGTTAGCTGTGAAATAATAATAATAATAATAATGATAGTTATACGTGTTTTGTATTTAAATTCATCGCCTGTTGAATGTGGTTATCTCTGTAGGGTGATGATGACGACGCAGGGAGTCGATGTCTTCTCCGTTAACTGTCAACTGTTTGGACCAGTTACTGAAAAACAGGTCACCAATATTGTTTTTCATTGGTTTTATTTGATGTCATCTGCGCCACCCAACATGTATTT